TATATTTTCGCTTTTATATGCTAACCTCACTGTATGGAAATTAAATCGAATGGCAGTCGCTTTTAATAACGTCACGTGAATAGCAGTAAACTTGGTCAGTGGTGAAAGTAAAAACGTTCGGCTGCACTAGCAGGAATCAGGATGTCATGCGAAAACACACACATCGGTAAACACGCGTTTCTAATGGACAGGGGGAGCGAAAGACGATAAAACATTATGATTGTTATGAACAAAAGAAGTGGCGATTTCATTACACTCAAATCCAATTAGAATAAAGGCCGTTACACTAGAAAGATTATTAACTATCGATAGATTGGTAAATTAAAAATTCAAAACTTCCACAGATGAATTACCACAAGTGTGTATGTACCAAACGTGTCTATCTATTTACCTTTACTCAATTACACAAATATAACTGTATGTATCAATGTAAACATACAACAAAAGCATGTGTGCGTCATAGATTACTCAATTTTGACATTAAATGCGAATAGAAATTCATTTCATGAGAACCTGAGTGTAATCTATCGAAAATTCGATATCAAGTACTTTAAACGCACCAATACACATTTTATGTTTTATTACGCCCAACGAATGTTTATCTAAACCTTGTATTGACTGTTAAAATTACTTCCCATTTAAAATGCTGGAAAACCTTTCTCTTTTATTACAATAACTTCGAGGAAGTTGGCATACAATGAGATTTTTTTGTTGTGTATAGTTTTCTACTATATTGTTAGATATTGTTTATTATGAGAATGTAAACAGGACAAAAGATTAATAGGTGTTTATCTCGGCCTTAACTGTATTATTTTTGAAAGTCAACGTTTCAGGCGATGTAGACTTTCTGAAAGGACAACAACCTTTAGTTTGATCTATCTGAAAGGGCATCAAGCTTGAGTTTGACCTCTCTGAAAGGGCACCAAGCTTGAGTTTGATCTGTCTAAAAAGGCATCAAAATTTGAGTTTCACCCATCTAATAGAACACCATGTTTGAGTTGACCTGACTGAAAGGGCACCAAATTCAATTTGACCTCTATGAAAAGCCAAGCTTGAGCTTGACCTAATTATTATAACACCTTTGACCTAACATATAGGACACTAAGTTAAGTTTAGTTTCAGCAAAATAGACGTGTTGCAACGATTATCATCTTAACATTGGCTTCATAAAATAACATTTCATTCTACTTTTAGTTTAGTCAATGAGTAGTCAGTGAATGTATTTTCTACGCTTCTTTTTTTTTTCCGAACAATTTATAGTAAAAAAAAAGAATATCAAAAAAAGTTGTACAGATCTTTCATTTCGAACTGGAATAATGATATTTCTGATGATGCCATGATACTTTATTAATCTCGTTTAAAGTAAACCGTAACACAGTATCTACTGGCTTGAAAAGTCATGAAATACTTACGGCAAGATTGTAAACCCATAACAAAAAATATATATACCTATACAGAGTGTGCTAGATGCTACTTTACCCAAAAGTACTGGATAAGGTTGAAGTAGCACTGATATATCTGCAACGCTACGTTTATTCTAAAACTATAAGGAGTTGTATTCATGATTTTGGGTAGAAAACTGTGTGAGAGTCGTTTCAGCAAAAATGTTAGCACTAACCTTCACTGTGCTTCAGATGAGACACGATGCTGTTTGACTGAACGTTGTAACATCAACTTTAACTGTGCTTCAGATAATGCAAGAGGCTTTTTCACTCAACAATTGTAACATTAACCTTAACTGTATAGAGTTAATTTTTAAACGAGTTGTCCAACGTAAACACTAAAGCACTAATATATAAAAAATTATGTACAACTTAGAAATTTTGTAGCAAAATGCCATTTGATTTAGATAATGTACAAGTGGCCTACAGCAGTAGTCTTATCACTAGAATTTTATTTTTACTTTAGTGAGAGAAATAATTCTTTTTATTAACGATTTAGATATGTTTGATTTTAATAAATCATTATACGATTATTAGTCTAAAAGCCACTTAAAGGTGAATTGTCCAGCAGAAAATATACCAAAACTGGACAGTGTACACTTCCTTAAAGTGTAAAGTTTAGGGCTTATGTTTAAAGAAATGTTTCAAATGCACATTTTACAAAAACTTTTCTGTCCAAAAGTTTTGCATCTTTGCAAAGCGTCTCATGAGAGAGAGAGAGAGAGAGAGAGACGAAAAATATAATAACGGTATTGGTAAGAACATTCTGTTATCACTGTCCCCCCTGTGGGACAGCAGTAAGTCTACGAACTTGCAACGCTAATATCCTGGGTGCGATTTCTCACGGTGAACACAGGAGATAGCTCACTGTGGCTTTGCTATAAAACAAACAAACTGTTATTACTTGTGTTCATGTGCTTATACTGCGAGGTGTGTCTATTTACATGTACTTTCTCGCTAGTATGGGCAATCTATTTGTGAAGATCCTGTTAAAGGCCACACATGTCTCAACCATAGACTTAGTAATTCAGTAAATTACTAGTGTGTCAGTACGTGTGCAAAGGTTTCATACAGATATCGGCATTCAAAGAAATATCTAAATGTTGTCACCTCCTACATTGGAGCCCCCTCCCACCAGTGACACAGCGGTATGTCTGCAGACTTACAAAAGCTAGAAACCGGGTTTCGATACCCGTGGTGGGCAGAGCACAGATAGCCCATTGTGTAGCTTTGTACTTAATTACAAACAAACAAACGTACATTGGAGCTATACATTGAGATGTGCGCACTTTATCCACCGCGGGGAATCGAATCCCGAATTTTAGCGTTGTACATGCATAAGCGAACACGAACGCAGTGTATAATAGTGATATTGTGTATATAACTGGTTCCTGAAGTATAACAAGCTAATAGATCGGTAACTGTACTAAACGAGAGTCTCATTTCCTTAAAGCGACTGTAAACTTGAATGTTGTGTAGTAATGATAATCTTTATATATTCAGGCACCATGATTTTCTCTAAAAACTGATTTATTTTGTGCATGAAACTGTCAAAGAAAACTTATATAAATTATGTAGCACATACATGGTCCATCATGTAGTTTATTTGTGTGTTTTTCGTAACGTAAGCATGCATATATCAAGTTAATAGGCTATTCTTTTTTTAAACAAATTATACAAATGACTAGCGACTTAGTGAAATACAAAACAAACTTACTTGTATTGGATAACAAATTATATGAAATGACCATCTGAATTAGGTCTGATCTTATCAGTTTAAATAGGTTAATGACAGAGAACGTTTCTAAGATAAAATTTATATGTGTATTAGTCTGTATCTATCCTGTGCCTATTGGAACGGGAGATAGCGTGGAATACGTTTTGTGTATATGGTATTTAAAGGGGAAATAGCGTGGAATACGTTTTGTTTGTTTGGTACTGAAACGGGGGATAGCGTGGAATACGTTTTGTTTATATGATATTAAAACGGGAGATAGCATGGAATACGTTTGTTTATATGATATTAAAACTGGAGATAGCGTGGAATATGTTTTGTTTATATGGTACTGAAACGGGAGATAGCATGGAATACGTTTTGTTTATATGATATTAAAACAGGAGATAGCGTGGAATATATTTTGTTTATATGGTACTGAAACGGGAGATAGCGTGGAATACGTTTTGTTTATATGGTACTGAAACGGGAGATAGCGTAGAATACGTTTGTTTATATGATATTAAAACTGGAGATAGTGTGGAATACGTTTTTTTATACACAAAGGGTAGCACAACTCAAGTGATAATTGTAGCTGGAAAGCTATAAAACTGCAAAGTTTAGAGTGTACAAAATAAACAAATTCTAAATTTAAGGATTTGTTGTTGTTTTTGTTTCTCTAATAAAACAGCATTATTGAAAACTAAAGTTTTTGGGATAATTCTATACATTTCGGAAATAATTTAAATGCACGTGCAAAAAAAAAAGAAAAAAGATCCAGTCCAAACCAGTTTGATGCTTGGTTTGATTGTCTTAGAACAAAGCCAACTTGAGCTATATGCCGTGTTCACAGCGGGGTATTGAAAGTTGTAAGTCTGGAGACTTACCGCTGTCCCACCGGGGACTCGGCTTGCTAAACTAACTCATAATCGTTTTCAAATAAATACAGTTTTATATATAAATATTCGGAATGATTCTTGATGTTATTCGTGTTATTTTTGCATATAACCGGACTTTTAAATCTTAACATTGAATCGTTGCCACAATTATGATCAAAGTTTTTATTACTAATAAAAGTAATAACCTATTACTGACGTCCAGGATTTTGACTGCTAATCTGCTAATATATTGATAAAAGCTTTCTGGTTGTAATTAACAATAATAGCAACGTTCAGATTTCGTTTCATTCGATCTCATCGTAACAAATATAACTTTATATTTGAATCAAAAATGAAAACTTAAAAAAATACAAGGCCTGTGTCTACTGCTTCTGAAGAAACAAAAATGAAATTCAAATGATCAACCATGTCACCAAATCGACGCACTGAGTTATTTAATTATTTTAATCTGTTTTAACTATCACAGTCATGACTAAAATCTTTTGCACGGCAGAATAATTAATTAACTTTTATAGCTAAACCTTTTTTTTTTTACTAGTTCTTAGGAAGTTAATGTGAAAGAAGTTAATTATTCAAAAATCTCAAATCATTATATTAACATTCAAGTAAAGTTTAACTTTTAACGTGCAAATCCTTGGATGCTTTAACTTATTGTCGATTATTAGACTAATGTTTTAAACGTAATACACACGTCGCTCGCTGACTAATTTGAATCCTGGATTTGTAAAATAGAGATCGGTATAGTGAGCAGTCACATTATAAATAAACATTTCCTTCATTTTTCCTAAAAAATTTTCGTTTAATTTAGAGGGCTTGTAAAACACAATTCTATACATCAAGCAACTTTTACGTTCCAAAAATAATTGGTATAAGTAGTAAAGCATGTCTTATTTACAATGAATTTGTAATATATAAACGAGAGAGTTACATAGTTTTTGAACTTACTTCTATAATTGAAGTTACACTGGTATCAGCAATAGAGGGCGTTACTTCGTCCATGGGCCGAAAGATGACATGAGCACCGGGGTTTCCATGGTGGTCGAGACTGGATTCAGAGACGCCGTCATTGCTGGACATATCTGTAACATCGACATCCAGCGATGCTGATCCGCGAGACCCAGACCTATATGTGTCAGACGTTTCTCCACAGGTTGTAGTTGTATCTGCTGTTGTATCGCACACTGGTGGCTCTACCTGAAACGGCCGATTTCCTGTCTTACTCACAGGCCGGAAGGCTGACGTACGAGGGTAGGTGTTATCTGGACTTTTTACTTGAGTCTGCGTTGGCTCCACTTCAAACTGCTGTTTTCTAAAGTCTATATCTGAAGTAGAAGACAGCAAAGGAGCTTGAGTATTCAAAGCCAAAGAAGGAGGGACCATATTTTCAAAGACAGCATCTTCCCTGTAATCCATGGATGAAGGATTGGAATCTCGAGACCAGAACATGGGTCCGTAGGGTAGGGGAAATGATTGTTTCCCTGCCCACATATATTCAGCAAAACACTGTCTGATATCCGAGGCTGAGAACGGTTTACCGGCTGTGTAGTAGAATGGTGAGGTTGGTGCAACAAAAGGGGGCGCTGGTGGAATATGATAGTTTTTGTTGGAGAAAGGGACAACAGGGAGGTATGGAGATTTGGAGCCGTCGTTGGGAGGGTTGAGTGAAGAACTGTGTTTTTCGGGAGGAGGAGGACCAGGAAAACGTGGTCGTTTTGCTTCCTGGTTTCTGGATGAACTAGCCAAAGAAGAACAAGCCGTGACACGTTTTCTGCTTCCGCCATTAAACATGGCCTTCACGTCCTCCCACGCATGAATTACATCATCAGATGGCGTTCCAATTAACTTAATATGCCTCCGCCAAGAGTTGAAGTTGGCTGCGTCCGGCTGGACGTATTTGGAGTCCGAGAAACGATGGGAGTGGAAGACAAATTTGTTGGGAGAGAAGAACAGGCTGCAGTAAGCACACTTAATGCATTTGGCGCGAGAACTATTATAGCGTGACGGCACAAATTTGCCACGGCAGCCCCAAGCGCATTGATGGTAGATGTCAAAAGCAAAGTTGTCTGGAAGCTTGGGAGGTGCAGTTTCTGCTAGGAAAGACTTGCACAACCTTTCTGCTTCTCGCTTGGAAATCATGCCGCAACGCCGTGAGGACACCGGCATGGCCCCGGCACGACGTAACAATTCCAGCTGGACAGGAGTGCACTGAACGCACGTGATACCCAGAGCCACTCGTCGATTGTGAATTTCGTTATAACTGAAATGTTTTAGGAGGGTGTTCGAAATCTGCGCCAGACAAAGTCTTTCTTGGCCATCAATAATTAGTGACACTATAGGAATTCCATACAAAATAACTGATCGGACCTCATTGTTTCGAGACCCTTCTGTAATGTGGTTTACTTTGGAGTTGATCATTTCGGGACCGTTTGGAGCAATTGAAGGCGGAGGGGTCGGAGGATCTTGCTTTGGAGCTCTTGGATCCTAATTAAAAAACGAAATTAAAGTTCTAAGTCTCAGGAAATATTTGCTTTAAGTGAATGATGATATCTGTAATGAGTAAATCTGAAACTATTTGTTTGACACATGTAATCTAACCTTTAATCTTTAATTATAATAAATATTAAATCTCCCGTTTAAAATTGATTTAAAACAAAAAGAAGTGACACTGAACTATTCAGCGGGTAGGTGAGTATTTCAAAAACGCTCAATAATTAGCTATTCTGACACACAGAGAAAAATTTTCAATGTTGATTAATATCTAAGCTACCAGTTACACTAGTATTGGCGTATTTTTTATAAATTCATAAACGTAAAATTAAAAAAAAAGGTTCAAAGCTAATAACCAGTTAGAAAAACAAACTAAAGCAGGTCATTAAATATTCGGTTTATTTCCACAAGTCTAGTTTTGGAGTTCAAATACTTTCACTCGTCATGTTTAGATATCACTTCAACTCTCTAGTCTGATCTGCAAACTTTAAAAACTGTTAAAAGCTATTATCAGATGAATTTTCCTGTTCTTACGCATAACTTTGTAAACACAGTTTGTAGAATCTCTGACTGTATGCATATCCAATATTAGGCACATAGAAATGTATTGGTGTTTTTGTACTTAAACCTAACAGCCACCATACAGAGAAATGTATTGCTGTTATTGTATTTAATCAGCTGATTTACGGAACTGTTGTTTTGTGTTTTACATTATTACAGAGAAACCACTCATATATCGTTTCCATTCTCTCTCTCTTTTACACATATCATTTAAGTCTTCAATTAATGTGTTATTTTTTGTAGTCTTTTATTTGTATTTAATATAATAATATGAAATAATCAAGTTCTCTATACTACCTAGGGGCTGTTTTTTAAATCGTACTGTTAAATCATGCGCCAGACTATTATCCATAAAATCAGGAAGTCTCAGTTTTCAGAGCTAATTTGGAGTTATCTTTTAAATAATAGTTTAAGCTTCAACACTGAACATTTGTGTCAGTTATTTTTTAACGTTTTGAAGTTGCATTTCCAGTTATAGTCATTAAATCTTGATGTTTTGATATAAATGTAACCAATCATGTATATATATATATATGTGTGTGTGTGTGTATGATTTGTAAAGTAGATATTTCTTTTCTAGGGCGGGGATCTAGGGCTTCTGAGGATGTGGCAGCACCCCTGACTGGACGTACGGTGTTGCTGCACATTCGTGGCTCCCATCATATACGAATTTCGATTGTGCTCAGTGGTTTTCAGGATTTCCACTACAATTTTCTCAGCATCAATGTTTCTTGTCAGCATCATTGTTTCTATTCAATGTTTATGTTAGCTTCAATGTTTCTCTTCATAATTTCTTGTCAGCATCAATGTTTCTCTTTAATGTTTATGTCAGCATCGTTGTTTTTATTTAATGTTTATGTTAGCGTAAATGTTCCTCTTTAATGTTTCTTGTCAGCATCAATGTTTCTCTTTAATGTTTATGTCAGCATCATTGTTTCTATTTAATGTTTATGTTAGCATCAATGTTCCTCTTTAATATTTCTTGTCAGCACCAAAGTTTCTCTTTTTAGCATCAATGTTTCTCATTAATGTTTATGTCAGCATCAATCTTTCTCTTTAATGTTTCTTGTCAGCATCATTGTTTCTCTTTAATGTTTCTTGTCACCATCAATGTTTCTCTTTAATATTTATGTCAGCATCAATCTTTCTCTTTAATGTTTATGTCGGCAACAATGTTTCTCTTTAATATTTCTTGTCAGCATCAATGTTTCTCTTTAATGTTTATGTCAGCATCAATGTGTCTCTTTAATGTTTC